AAAAATTTATGAGATGACTGAATCCACATCATGCTAGCTGTTCTCTTGGCTTTATCCTCTACATGGTTGGAATCTTGTTTCTACTACAAGGTACAGTTTATTTTATTTTGTTATCCTGGGATTGCTGATTATGTCAAGACAAAGTCCTTTCCCATCAGCCTGTATAGCCGGCTGACTCTATTATTAGGTTTTACATATTCAATGCTTTCTACGTTGTCTTGAATTGTTGCACTTCATTACCAAGAAATCAGAAAATTGCAAAGAGAGACGGGGGTTACCATCATAATCAATTGTAATCTGGTGAGTATAACTCTCTTATTTTACCCTCCCAATTAATATCTCCATTTGATATGGAAGGATTTGATGAATGAATCATGCTTTGCAGGAAATTGAATCATGGATGAAACTAAAAGATTATCGACTGTAGATATCATTGAAATTCAAAGAGCACATGTCAACAGATTTACTTTCCAGGACACTGTTGATATCTCTATGCTTAATAGTTTCTTCTGTGGTGATTGCTTTGATCTCTCAGATAAGGAGATCAAAGACGTGGAGCTTGTAGTTCTTCTGCTAGCTTCTGCCGAGAAGGTGAGCAAAAACAATTTGACCAAGCAAGCAGAATCCTTGAAGTGTGTGATTTCTTGAGTTCAAATAATGGAAGTTCAGTTCAGAGAATGGTTCACTATTACACTAAAGCTCTTCAAGAGAAGATTGATCGAGAAACTGGAGCTAATACATCAAACATAAGAGAAATAAAAAATGGAGGGCTGTTACTGTCAGATGAAAATACAGTGTGTATGAAACCTGCATTAATTAAATGTTATGAAATGCTTCCTTTTGTTCAAGTTAGTGTGCTTGCAGGAATTCAAGCAATTGTAGAACATGTGGCCTCTGCAAGAAAGGTTCATTATATCGACCTTGCAATTAGAACTGGGGAGCAATGTACAGCGTCAATGCAAGCTCTTGCCATTCGAAATGGAGTTCCATTAGAGCTTCTTAAAGTGACTGCCATAGGGACAGCGGAGGAAGAGAAAATTGAGACAGGTAAACGGCTAGCCTGTTTTGCTGAGTCCTTAAATATACCATCCTCGTTCAAAGCTGCTATTGTGACACACATGAAAGATATCAATGAAGACATGTTTGAGATAGAAGATGGTGAAGTTGTAGCCATCTACTCTCCGTTGGTTCTAAGTCATTTAGTACGACAGCCTGATTGCTTGGAAGCTCTAATAAGAGTTCTTAGGAATTTAAATCCATGTGTTATGGTGGTAACAGAATGTGAGGCAAAGCTTTGTTCACCCGTTTTCATGGAACGGTTTTTAGAAGCATTATCTTCCTCCGGTTCTCACTTCGATTACTTTGAAGATAGTATGGATCGGGATGATCAAAACAGGTTTGCTTTTGAAGAAACATACTTTGCTCGAGGTATAAAAAATATTGTTGCAGAGGAGGATGAAAATAGGACTCACAGGATTATGAAGATAGATGATTGGAGAAACTATTTAACTAAATTCGGATTAGTTGAAACAACACTAGGATCCTCATCTTTGTATCAGGCAGAGCTGGTTGCCAAACAGGTTGCATCTGGGAATTGTTGCACATGTCAAAGGAATGGGGA